CAAGAGGCGGAGGATTTCCTGCTGGGTACGGTGGACCTCATGCTCAACTCGCCAGACGCCTTCGAGACGGCTCTGGCGTCATCCCACGAGCTAAGTGAATCTCCAATAGGGCCGAAGCGAGAGGATGAGGAGGGAGGGGAGTGACCGGTGATGGAGGCCATCGACAGCATGATGTGAGTGTCGACTTTCTCGCGTCCAGACGTCTCATTCGCCGTGCGTGCGGTAGCGCGCCACGCCCACGCCCCGGCGAAGGGGCACTGGGATGCCATCCAGAATATTCTCGGCAGCTGAAAGGAGATGAGGGACCTCGGCATCACCTACCAACGGGGATCGGGGTTAGGGCTGGCCGTGTACGTAGACGCTAGCTACGCCGACACGGAGGATAGGCGTTCGGTGTCAGGGTTGGCGACGACGGTTGGAGGTACCGTAGTCAGCCATGGTAGCAAGACGCAGAACATCGTGTCATTGTCCTCGACGGAAGCCGAGTACATTGCTGCCGGGGAGGGTGTCAAGGAGGCGTTGTTTGTGCGTGCTGTGCTTTCGTTTGTTGCCCCAGAGACCAGTGGTTGCAGCATCCAGGTCCTTGAGGACAACCAGGGGGCCATAGCGTTGGTGCCGAACCCCCTCAGCTCAGGTCGCACGAAACATATCGACGTGAGGTTTCATTTCATCCGCGGATTGTTTAGGTCGGGGGATATTTCGGTCAAGTTTGTTCCGACAACGGAGCAACACGAGGATCTCCTTACCAAAGCCCTTAGCAGGGCCAGCCTGCAGTACCACCGGCGCAAGCTGATGAATTTGCCGGAGTAGCTGTAGCAGTTTTTACCACTTGCCTCGGACTTTCTAATAAGTGCGGCCGTTGTGATCCGCTGTGATAGCGACGTTTTTTTTGTGGTAGGAGTTTGTTCGAGGGGTTTTGCCCTGACGCCAAGTTTCCCCTCCATATATTATCATGTTGATTTTCTGTTGTATTCAGGGGCGTTCTTGCCCCATTGATGGTTAGTCGCTAGCGTAAAGAACCAGGGAGGGTGTTCGTGGGTCTGCGAACGTTGCTGTTGGATACATGTGCTGTATGATTTTGGTGTCACGCAGATTGGTAAGATTGCCGTTTGGTGGGGGGCACCACGATGAGTCTCGGGCCCTCCTTGGTGGAGGAGCTGCCCATTTGGGGCATTCCCTCTTCTGTCCGTGTGAAGGACGGTCGCCTACCTCTCGTGAAGTTAACACGTCACCGAAACAGTCTCACCCGATAAATAAGTGGCGTAGGCCGCAAACATCCCACGCCCCTCGCCATCGCTCCTAACAGCATGCGCTTGGGCTTCGTGTAGTGCTCCGCTGTTAGGCTCCACGAGGCGCACCCATATAGGAGAGTCTCCACCACTTCAGCCTGGAGTAGCCGGATCTTGAGCTGGCGGTCGGCCCGTCGCCTGTCGTACATCGAAGCACTGTTCCGGCGGTAGCACTTCCACGCTCGGCAGCTGCGGCTCGTGATCTCCCGGTCGGCCTTCCCGTCCGCGGAGATGGTACGTTCGAGGTACACAAACCGATCTGTCTGCTCGTACGTCTGGGCGGCGGCGCTGACCGTGAACGGGCATTCCTCGATCCCTTTCGGTAGCATGCACATGATCTCCGTCTTTGGCTCCGATATCATCAGTCCGAATAGACCGGCCACGCGAACGATGACCGACATCATCTTCTCGAGACTCTCCGGCGANCGTACGTCTGGGCGGCGGCGCTGACCGTGAACGGGCATTCCTCGATCCCTTTCGGTAGCATGCACATGATCTCCGTCTTTGGCTCCGATATCATCAGTCCGAATAGACCGGCCACGCGAACGATGACCGACATCATCTTCTCGAGACTCTCCGGCGAGCGCGAGACGATGGCCGCGTCGTCAGCGTAGAGCATGGCCCACAGACCCTCCGCGTCCGTCACCACGGTCGTCTTCTTCCCCACCGACCTGCCCTTCTTGCTCATGTACTCCACTTGGGTCCCGATCTTGACCATGTCCGCCGTCACCTTGGGGTCCTTGTCGAACTCGGCCACGGCGACCATGAGCACCACGGCAAAGAACAAGTTGAACAGCAGCGGGGCCAGGTTGCATCCCTCTCGGAGGCCTTGGCCCACTTAGAACCATTCCGAGTACTGTCCGTCGTCCGTTCGGACGTGCGCTTTCATGCCCTCGTGGAAGTGGCGAATGACCGCCAACATCTTCGGGGGCACGCCGAAGCGTCGGAGCACGTCCCACAGTAGGTCTCGGTCCACCGAATCGTATGCCTTGGTGAACATGGATGTTAGAGATGGAGATTTTTTGCCGGTTTGGCTCGATCAAGTGATCATGAGAGGTCCAGAAGGAGGGCAGAGACAGCACGAACGAATGGTTACCATCGACGAAGGCAGATAAACACAATATGTCAGCTTCACACGCTGCGAACGGCGTGCGTGCGTGCATTGACAGAAGGCCTCGAACAACTCCTTGACATTACAACCCCCAAGCCTTGCCTTTCCACAACGAACATTTATGCCAACATGGTTGATATACTTCAAGCTCGTACAATTCCGGCGGGATCATCCTGCGCAGGCTGAGTGCTGGGTGTCACGAACGGCAAACATGAGACATGTGACGCAGTCGTTGCGAGAACAGTGGCAAAAGGTGGGTCTCGGCTACACCCACTCCTTCTACGGCAAGGACCACACACAGTTGTACCGTGGGTTTGCCAGACGAAGCAATCATCCCCACTACTACTACTCCTGTAGATTCTCGGTGAGCGCTAAAGGCAGACCTCACCTCTCGTGATGTTCCTACCCCCCTCTTCCCGTTTTCTCCTCTATGCCTTGCCTGTCTCGTCTTCCTCCGGATGGATAGGAGCCCACAGGAGGTCTTTGAGAACGTGCATGAGTGGGCTCGACCGCAAAATAGAACCCTTCAAGCAGGTGGGGGTAGTGGTTCGTGCGTATGAAGGCATCTCCACGTTTCAGAGAGTTTGCCAAGCAGATGGCAAGGAACTGGATGTTCCCGTTCACGCTTTCGATTTACGATTGCGATCCGTTTTTTTTTTCCTTCGCGTTTTTCCGTACGGATGAAGTTTTCGGAGCAGCTGCTACTTTCGGACCATCATCCTCCGGTTCGAAAATCCGGCCGCCGAAGAACGGCGAGTCGTACAAGACCTTACCTATACGTGAGAGCGTTATTGTGACGCGAGCTCACTGAAAAAACGTTTGGAGTGGAATGTGAGGAAAATCCTCTTGTATCACCACGGATTGGAGCTCTTCCAAGGCAGGAATGAATGCTGTTGTCACGCGATCGCTCACGAAAAGTGATTTGCAAAAAAAATAAAAATGACCCTCGGCCAGCCTCACCCATCAGCACATCCCAGTAAACATCCTTGGAGTTTCCCGCTCAATCAACTATCCGAGGCCCACTCCGACCCGTTCCTCCCTCACACGTGGCCCTAACTTCCTGTGGACGATGTAGCGGATTGCCCTTTCGCCTCGTAGCAGTTGGAATTCTGCTGTGGTTGCTGCTATTGTTGTCGGAAACACCTATTACCGCCCCTGCTTGTGTTTATCCCCTGGCGCTCACAGCTGCTGTAAAATTTATGTTGAAGGCTTCTGATTGGCCGAGGTACAAAAAATGTCATTAGCTTCGTGGCTAAGGGACATGGTGTCTGCGCGGTTGGTGGGTCTTGTCACCAGAGCACTCGAAAATTGTAGAATTCGAATGGATTTGATTCGGAGATGACTCTTCTCGGACACCCATGGAGATGCACCGGGAACGAAAAAAATAATACAAAATACATGTAGATGACACGAAAAAGGCCTGAAAGTGTCCGTTCCACTGACTCATACCATGACCATTAGGACCGCAGAGCATCCATGACAAGAGAGCGTGAGCCGTGATCAGGCGGGTTGCAAAATCTTGGTCTCACACCGATGCGATTTCAGCTTGCAACGTGTGATGGAAAACTCCGGTCTGATGCAGGAAACAACGCAGAAAACACATTCGTTGGTAAAGAGGGAATATTCTCCAAGTCGATGACTCTCTCTCTTGTAATGAGATTTGATCGTCTTGCAACGACGGTTAGCTGTGTGGAACTGTAGTCCGACCACAGATGCAGGTTGTTGCTACTATATGCATACGTTGGTCTTCTTTGGTTAACCCCTCTCTCTCACGCACACCGCGGAGTCTCCACACAATTTGCACACGATTGAGCACAATCCCGCAATGACCGAGCAGACCAAGAGTCGGCATGAAGCCATATTCAACCTTGCACGACATCATAACAAGACTCATATCCATCTGACGACTGGCGAAACCAAATTTTACCATGTTAACTTACCATCACATGGCCACCGTGAGACCCCCTCTCAATTTTGAGGAGCTCCGAGGTACAGTAGTAGATCTCAGATCTCGTTCGACGAAAAAGTATGCCGTGCTCTGCTGGTTGTGATGCGAACGTTTTGTTTGCACCTCATTGCGGTCTGCACGTGGCTAGTCTAGATGAGTTCGAAGTAAGGCATGTCCGATTTTCGGAGGGAGTCTGGCAAGCAACTACCAAGCAGCTTGAGTTTCCGGTTCACTCTTACGATTTCGAACTATTTGTATTGCAGATTTTTCCATATCGACGAGCTTTCGGAACACAGCCCTCCATGTCGAAACCGGCCGGCGGAACAAGAGTCAATTGCCCATCTATGTACCGCATGTATGTTCGATTTTCGATTTGTGGTACACGTATTCGATGAAACACTGCGTGCGGTGACACGCCCACCACCCGCCCTGTGGACAGAATTTCGGCGACGGTCATCATTTGTTTCCTTACTCATTTTGGCCACGGTCATTTGTGCGTTTCCTTACTCATAGAGGTCACCATGTGATGCTTCATCTCGCAGCTATAATTCTGGGTTTCCCCGCTGACTCAAAAAAGACCAGTTCAGCGATTTTCACCAGTCCGGCCCGAAAGAACACCAGTTCGGCTATTGCGCCGCTCTGAACAGGTGAAAATGAGCTGGTGTCTTTTTTTTTCAGAGCTAGTAAAAAAGCCCATCTGTATTTCACCTGTTTAGTTTTTGCGTGTTCGGGAGGCGAAGCAGTACATAGCGAGATCGAGTCGTTCCTACAGCAGTTGCGCGCAACACCCAGTGGCGAGGCAGCTGGGAGTCTTGTGCATCAGTGGGTGTGGACGTGTCATTCGGTGGGTTCCGCTGGGAGAGTGATTTCTTCTGGAGAAGTGGTGTTTTTTGCACCTGGAAGTCGTCACGTCCTCTTGCTTGAACCGAGATCAAAGCGCGTATCACAAGGAGTGCCTTGGTTGTGAGTACAGAGTACTCGTGCTCGCGGCGGCGCAGGAACCCTGCGCCGCNTCGGCGTGTTAGACTTGACGCACCTGAGCACGGATAACAACTCGACTCTCTTGTACGAGACGGACTCGAGCCCGGACATGTTCAGTGTCCACACCACCCCGGGGAAGCCGAGGGTGCGTCAGCCGCAGCGTTCGTCGCCTCGAATCCGCGACCGCCGGGGTACGAAGGTAGATGTTGCGAGCTTATCGCCTACCTCGTCACCTGCGAGTGGTCTCAACTCCCCGCAGACCGGGGGGGTCGCGTCATCAGCTAGCCGCAGGACGTCTCCGCGCACCCCGAAGCG